CGAGGTATTCCCAGACGTCGAGTTGATTCGTGGTATCGGGTCATTTGCGCCTGTCATCAAAGCGACGCCTACGACACCCGCCACCTTCTCGTCGACCTACCTCACTTGACCCATCTGCATCGCATTCCCGCCGCTCTTGTAAGCCCGGCATCGATCGCATCTCCGTCGCATCGCAAGATTCTGCATAACCTACCTGTCGAGCAGACATTGTAGGGGAGACATTCATTTGTTCATCTCCCACATCTGGTACGCATTCTTCTTTTTTTGGCTGTCATTACTGGCGTCCTGTCCTACTCGCACCTTCCTCCACCGTTGCCTCCACCGCTGCCTCCTGCCTGCCCAGCCCAAAGTTGGTAGTATCCGACGCTTATTGGCTCCTGTTTTGCCGACCTACAAAAATCCCCATCCCGACGACTTTGCCTAAATCTCCTGGAAGCACATCAAGCAAAATCCGTTGCGGAACACTTCGCACACTTGGATATCACCAGTTCTTGGATTGCGCTTTCACTTTTCCATACTTCATTACATTGCTATCACAATATTCACAATCACTAACACTACTCTCTCTGGCTTCAGATCTGCTTTCTATTTCTGCGGTCCTTGGTCGCCTAGCAAATCGCAAACATGGAGGCGATCCAAACCCATCCTGTGAGCGCTGCTCAAGCAAAGGCTTTCACCGCTCCCGGGTCTCTCTCATTCCCTGGCGGCGCTCATGAGCTTCCCCCCGCTGCGAACGGCGATAAGACGGCAGTCAATGGACAAGTTCCCATTGCCAACGGCCAGCAAGTCGCAAACGGTACCGGGGTGACTCCCGCGACACCCGCCGCGACGCCCGCTGCCACGCAAGGTGGCAGTGGCTTGACTCCTACGTTGCAGTATGTATACCATGAGTGATCTCTTTTTCTCGATCATTGAGGCTTATCTCGCCCACTCAAAGGAACATCGTTGCGACGGTCAACCTCGATTGCCGATTGGACCTCAAGACGATTGCCCTGCACGCGAGAAACGCAGAGTACAACCCCAAGGTATTACTTACTGGTTGAGTCTACTATCATCGCTGCGGTGCTGACACTATCGATCCATAGCGTTTCGCTGCCGTCATTATGCGTATCCGTGAGCCCAAGACCACCGCTTTGATCTTCGCCTCAGGCAAGATGGTTGTTACTGGCGCGAAGTCGGAGGACGATTCGAAGCTTGCATCGCGCAAATATGCGCGTATCATCCAGAAGCTGGGATTCAACGCCAAGTTTACGGATTTCAAGATCCAGAACATCGTCGGCTCTTGCGATATCAAGTTTCCCATTCGCTTGGAGGGTCTTGCTTCGCGCCATCACAACTTCAGCTCCTACGAGCCAGAGTTGTTCCCCGGTCTCATCTACCGCATGATTAAGCCCAAGATTGTGCTGCTCATCTTCGTGAGCGGCAAGATCGTCCTTACCGGAGCAAAGGTCCGCGAGGAAATTTACCAGGCTTTCGAGATGATCTACCCTGTGCTTCAGGGTCAGTACACATACATTCTCGTGCTGCTTTTCTTTCACTAACAGGTTTCTAGATTTCCGCAAGGTCTAAACCACCCGAAGCCAAAGAGGGATCATCGATCCGCGTCGACGTAGCATGCCCGACATGGCCGACTTGTATGACTAGATACACACTTTCTTCACGATACCACGATTGTTTTCCCCACACACACGATACAAAAAAAAGTCGAGCGTCGGTCACTTGGCAACCTAGCCGTGACTCAAGTCGTCCTCGACACTCATTTTTGTTTTCTCTGATTTTTTCCGCTGCATTGCATTGGCGTTGGCAAAGGAGGTAAAACCTGGGCAGGAGGCATCTTGCCAGGTTGTTGATTCAAACGAAAAGAATAGGATTTCTCTCACCGCAGCACTACATAGATTGCTTGCGGCATCGTCGACGGCAGATGCGCAGGTCGACTTTGCTGTTCTTTAATGGAAGCGGCTTAGATGCGAAGGGGGTTTGTTCAAGAGGGTAGAAGTGTGGAAACGAAGACGACACGCACGATGGAACTTCGGATGAGGTTAACGCGGCTTTCCGGACAGTAGGTCGGGAGTTTTCAGGTGGCGGGCGTAAGGGGAGGAGGGAACAGGTCTGGTGCCAGGCCACCTGTCTTTTGGGTGCCCTATCCGATCACTCGGTCTTATTCCTGCTACCTTCTTGATCCGCGGGTTTGATGCGAGGTGAGAGGCAGGCATTAGTTGTTAGCGCAATGCCATAACCTGTTTCACTAAATGTTGTCTGGTCTCCAAGTGATAGAAGCCTCCACGCGTGCCTTGCGTCTATGGTTATGTTGAATGTGTGTCATGATGCTACAGTAGTGCGACTCCAAGGTTAACATAATTCTACATATTCTACGGTGTCCGTCTGTCTACGTAGTTATGTCATCATGATATATGTCTACAACTTAGCTTGCTCTTTCTTCAGCAACAGACCGGGGATGCCACCTCTGCTGCCATCCTCGGTCATGATGTGCTCGTACAAATCAGTCACACCCGTCTTGCTTTTGGTCTCCCTCCACCGCCACTTCTCAGTGAAGACCTCGTCGCCGCGCCTTTCGAGCACGTTGACGATCTCGCGGCCCAGCACGGGCAGGAACTTGAAGCCGTGGCCACTACCTCCCGTGGCGACGAAGAGGTTTTTGGCCTCTGGGTGGTGGCAGACAAGGAAATCTCCAGACTGGGTGTCGGTGTACCAGCACAGCCGGGTCTGGGCGAAGGGGCGGTTGTGGATGGCGGGGATGGGCACGATGGTGCGGACAGCCTCGCGCAGGGCGGCCTCGCCCTCCTTGGGGAACTTGAGCCTGGGGTCCGTGAGGTGCGTGGCGGGGAGGGAGACGGTGGACCTGGCTGAGGACGGGGCCGACGGTGAGGGATGGGGGATGGGCGTCGGGTTCAGGTAGCCGAAGGCGTGGCGAGCAACCTTGAGCTGGAGGCCGGCCGGGGGGATCATGAAGAGGCCAGTGCTGAAGTTGAGGGTCACGGGCATCTTCCGGAGGACCTCGAGCTCTGACGGGGTGATGTCGATGTAGCCCACCGCCTGGCCCGTGGCGATGGCCTGCCCGGATAGGTCGATGAGCTGGCCCGTCCAGGCGCCGGCAGCGACGACGACGAGGTCGGCCGAGAGGATAACGCCGTTGTCGAGCGTCGCGCCGGTGACCGTCCTCCTATCGGGACCGTAGTTCAGGTGGGTCGCGGTGCCTGACACAAAGTTGACGCGGCCGAGAGCCTGGACCTTGGCGGCGAGGTACGACATGGCGGCGCCGGCGTCGGCCCAGCCGGCGAGGGGGTTGATGTAGCCCCAGGTCCCCGGCGCGATGGGGGTCCCAAGGAAGTCCTTGATGGCGGTGGGCGTGGGCAGCTCCCTGATGATCCTGTCGCCGTCGGCGCCCGCGAGGGAGACGACGTTACTGTAGCTCTCGCGGACGTACTCGAGGGACGTCTTCTTGGCCTTGAGCTTGGCTTGGCCGTTGGTGTTGACGGTCCGCGGCGGCGAGGGGGAGGGGGCTGACGAGGCGTAGGCAGAGGCGGCCATCGGGGTCGGGTCGGCGACGAGACAGAGGCCGGACTGGCTGTAGCGGCCCTCGGCGCCGAGGTCAGAGGGGTGCTCGGTCTTGCGCCATTCGATCTGGGCTTCGGCGGCGAGGCGGGCGTAGGCTGGGTCGGCGTAGTCTGCGCGGATGATGCGGGAGGAGTCGACCGAGGCGGCGTCTTGGCTGGGACCGGGGACGGGGGAGCGGTCGAGGACGGTGATGGTCGTGGACGCGTAGCGCGGGCGCTGGGCGAGCTCGTACGCCGTCGTGAGGCCGAAGACACCGGAGCCGATGATGAGGATGGAGGAGGGCGCGGGCTCCTCCGCCGCCGCTGCTTGGTCGGAAGACATTGCGTGGTGTATGTGGCCGTGCGTTCCTTATTCGTGTTATGCCGTTACGCTCTTAGCTAGGTGCCTAGAGTCTCGAATGATTCGGCGCTAGGACCGGCGCAAGACCGGACGGACGGACGGATGGGTTGGGCGAGGGAGATCACACGGGGTTTCTTTATTACTGGGGAATCGGGGGAGGAATAAATTGGAAACGGGGTTCAAAGGGAAAGTGAGAGAGACGTTACCTGAAAGATATGCGTAGGATAAGGATGGGATTGGGATCGCATGATCGTGCTGGCGGTGGGCCGCCGGACAGGCGTGCTGGTTGGGCGTGGTGCAAACGCAGGCGCGCAAACCTCAACCACGAGAGGGGCGTTATCGGAGGATAGAATTTTTTTTCTTCCCCCTCTTCCCCTCCCCCTTCCACTTTAGGGTCGAGAGTGACAGTCGGTAGTGTCTCCCGGCTCTGGGGTAGCCTCGCGTCGACTTGCTGGTATGTCGACATCTGGCGGGGTCACCTTAGTCGGTGTAGGTACCTCTGCATCGTAACCTTTTTCCCCCTCCCTTTTTTCTTTCTCTCCTCTTCGCCCCCCTGCGAGGAACAGCCGGGGAGTGCGGGCGCTTGGCGCGGGGCTGGGCGATGGCCTGTTGACGATCTGTCATGCCGCCAAACACCGACTGGGGGGGTGGGTTTGGCTGTCGAGCCCGCGATTCAGAACGACATCCGTGGCATCGGTTAATCCGAGTATGTAGCATATGACTTGAACTGCCACTTCCTCGCAGCACGAAGGGATGTTTGGCGGTGGGGTTGAGTGTTGCGATTCAGGGAGGTCGCGTGGGTTTATCCGCACAACAGCTGTGTCGAAGCTTGGCCATCTTGACGCAGGCGATGTGTGATAGTCTTTCCTGTTGATAAACCTGCGACGATGCCATCCAAGGAGGATGGGGATATTCGGGTTTGGGGGTGATGGCATCCTTGTCCGACCGGAGGTTGCGACGATGAAGACGGGAAAAAAAGCAGGCCCCCATCCGTCGTCCCATGGGCTGTTGATGGCTGAGAACGCCACTCACGCTGTCGAGCTCTATGAGTAAGCCATCACTGGTTTTCACAACCAACATAATCAGGCCCAATGGTCTAGAGGTATGATTCGCCCTTCGGGTTTAACAACCCTTCAGCTTAGCTTGACTGGGCGAGGCCCCGCGTTCGAATCGCGGTTGGGCCCCTGATACGTTTTTTGCTTTTTTCCGTCTTGTATCATATTTACACACGCGCACACACACACCACTTATGATTCCGTCCATCAATTAATTATTATTACTATTGATGAATGAATGCATGGGTGTTTGTTTGGTTGGTGCTTTAGATTATTAGGACTCAACCAATCGCATCGCTCCAATTAAGTCCAGCAGAAGACTTCTACTGTTGCATTCCCAGCTGTCCTCGAACCTCGGCAGAGTATCAAGTACCGGACGGTATGAGGCTAGACTGCCTCAATTAAATGTGACCGTTGGCGGGTTCTAAACCAAGAAACATTGTTGCAACCTGGACCCCTTCTCCCGCAAACCGACCGTACGAATGGACATATCTCCCGTAATATCCATACCGTGCGGGGCCATCGTCACATCCCCGCTTTCAGCTGTCCCACGCCGTCTTCCCTGTCTCAAACCGCCTCCCGCTCGCCAAAACTTCCTTCACAAACATCTCGTTAACAAAATAAGAAAAGGAGCCGAATACATAAAAAAAAATTAAAAAATGGTGAGGGTCGGACTGCTGCTGTGACTATCTGACAATCTGATGCTGACTTGCAGCTCGACAGGCCACCGCAGCTGGGTTGACCGAGGAGCAAAAGGCGCAATACAAGGAGGTGTTTGACCTCTTCGTAAGTTCTCGCCCTCTGCCCTCTCCGCCTTGTCCGCCCAAACCTACGCCTCTCCCTTCTCCCCAACCAGTCAAACTTTTTACTAACATGAGGGATTAGGACAAGGATGGAACCGGTTAGTTCTTTGTTTTCCTGCGAACCTTTACTTTGCTTCGCCTCTTTTCATGCCATAGGAACCTCGACCCTCTTACCGGAGCGGAAACCAGAGTGGCTTAGACGTGTTCCATCTCATCTTGCTCCATGCGAGCTCTTGTCACTTTTGCATATGACGATCCATCCGATCATAAAAGCTGACAGGTGTCGCTCTTGAAGGTGATATCACAGCCCAGGAGCTGGGTGCCGTCATGAGGTCCCTGGGCCTCAACCCTAGCGACACGGAGCTGAACGACATGGTCAACGAGGTCGACGCTGACAACAACGGCTCCATCGACTTCAACGGTTAGCACTCATCTCTATCGAGGATTTCCATGTGCGCGTGTTTGCTGACATCCAGCCCAGAGTTCCTCAACCTCATGGCGCAGAAGGTGCAAGTCGGCGATGCCGAGGAAGAGCTCAAGAACGCCTTCAAGGTTTTTGACCGCGACGGCAGCGGCACCATCTCCGCCGAGGAGCTCCGCCACGTCCTGACCTCTCTGGGAGAGGACATGACCCCAGCCGAGATTGACGAGATGATCCAGATGGCCGACAAGAACGGCGACGGATCAATTGACTGTAAGGACCAGCCCTCCAGACTTTGGTCAAACGAGGACATCGTGCTGACATGTGCGCCAGATGACGAGTTTGCGTCGATCATGATGAGGGAGTAAATAAACAAAAATTAACAGAAGGCCCATGACTGGGGGTATTCATCATTCAGTGTTTCTTGGTTTTCTTTTGGGGTTTTATATTGTGATTCGGTGACGCCGGTATAATGGATCTGCTTTTGGAGCAGCTCCCGATATGCGTCTTTCTTTCGTACCAGAACCTCATCCTATGGATTCCAGCTTAGAACATCGCCCGCATGTCCTCACTTGCATTCCCTAGAAGGTCGAGGCCGGTCCACGCTGACACTCCATCTCATACTCTGATAAGATGTATTCTCGCTAATATGTTCAGCATGCATGTTCGCCCGGTTTCCAAAGCATCTGCAGACGCGAAGACACCAAGACCATCTTCCACTCACATCTGTCAGATAACCAATGACACAGCTGCACACAAACCAACAGCCAAGGCAGCCTTGTTGACGTACGCCCCGCGCAGCGCCCCAGCTGACGCACTCATGGTCGTGGGAGCCGCTGTACCTCGGACCGCCGCCGTGGTCCGGTGCTCGCCCGATGTGTCTCCAAGATCGGCCGTTATAGCCGGGGGCATGCTTGTCGTCGTACTCTCGTCCTTGTCTTCGAAAGCCTTGTCGTCGCCCTTGCGGCATGAGCCGCCTTCTACGCAGATCTGCCCGGTGTCGCAGTAACTTCCGCCATCGCAGCACACCGCATCAGAGGGCATGCACCTATTGCCGCAAGCGGTCGTGCCTGGATCGCAGTTCGGGACATCGCCCGCGCTACGGGAACATAGGTCGCCCGCGGTGCACGTTTCTCCCCCGTCGCACTCCCCCTCGGGCATGCAGCGGTCGTTGCATTTCACACTGCCGGTGTCGCATTTTCCGCCGACGGCAGCGAAGCTGACGGGGAGGCCGGAGCGTGAGATCCTGAACGAGGGCAAGGAGCCCAGGCTTTTAAGAGTTGGTGCTTCTTCGGCCTGGGCCGGGATAAGTAGGATGCCGCCGAGAAAGGCCAGGAAGAAGGAAGGAAGCATCACGGCGAGTTCTCGGTCTACCTCCACACCTGGTGTTGATGTTGAGAACTACCCCAAGCTCCTAGAATGAGGTGGTTGGAGACTTCATGCCCCCTTCGAGGCGGAACGAATAAAGTACATATATATATACGCAAAAAGGGAGCACCTGGCACAGTAGTAGTCTTTAAGCAAAAGTGACAGACACTGACTGGGGCCGTTAAACCAAGCCCATCCATTACCAGTTCTTCGGAACGTGCCGTCGGACTAGCTACAACTTGTAGTTGGAAACAGTGGATTTCGATCCCCGATCTTGCTGTATAGTGAAGCTTAGCTAGGGATAGGTGTGAGACACTGTCGCTCCCTACCGCCAGGCCGGCTCATTGAACACGTGATGGGAGAGCTGTTCTTAGGGTCTTGCACGTCGTGAGCTTGGTCCACGATCCGAGATCTGGGTTGGGGCAACTGGGGAATAGAGAGATGGATACCTAGAGCCTTGCGGGAAATCTTGATGCGGATGTTTGCCAAGATGACGCAAACACCCGGTCTTTATCCAACTGGGCGGTAGGCGCATTCCCAATCTCAGACAAGGTGCCATTGCGGATGTAGTCCGCTTGGCGTAGGGTTTACTAGTTGTTGGGTCGATGTGAGATTGGCGAGGGCTGTTCGCGTGTCCGAAGCGGCTGGACGAAAGCGGGTTGGGTTCCTGAACATATATATATATATGTCTTGACGGCATTTCCCACGCCGAATCGACGGCGAAAACTAAGCGCTTTGATGACTACCAGAAACTTTCTTGGCAGCTCATTTTTGTTTTTTCCTTTCAAGAAGAGAGCGGGTTGGGGAAGGCGTTGCATGAGAAGTGGTACGTCCTCATGCGTGCCAACTTAGGCAGTTGATCGATTCAATAAGCCATCTCTCGGCCGAGGTGAGCCGACGAAACAGACCAGCTTCTGAATTGGATTGGAATGGCTGCTATCACCAGAGTGAATACCGGTTGATCTGGGAGAGAAATCAGGGGTCGATTTTATGTGAGCTGCTGCAGAGAGTCACATTCGTGTTCCTGATGAGGCCATACCTTGCCATCAACGATCGCCGGCAAAATTGAGACTATATGACAATACATCCGGGCTGGCACGATGGGGCAACATTTAGCACTTCGGATCTGTCGCCTAATGACCCTCAGTGTCTCTTATATGTGCCTGTCTCTTATATGTGCCTGTCTCTTATATGTGCCTGTCTCTTATATGTGCCTGTCTCTTATATGTGCCTGTCTCTTATATGTGCCTTGGCGTCGGAGTTCAGCTTGGCTTGCCAGAAAGACAGATGGAGACGACTTACACCGGGCAGGGCAGCCGGCCAATAATCCTGACCGGCGCCAGCGTGTGCGCTCTCAAGTCATTCATAGACGAGGATGAAGGGAGCCCAGAGGAACCAACAGATGATGGGCGGTTCGCCAGCGCATGAGCCGAGTCTTGACAGTCGGCCTATCTACTCTTATCTCTCTGTGTTGGCGTCGTTCCGTGTCTTTGTTGCATGAGTCTGCCGAATATCATGGTGGGGATATGTGGTTATGGGCTGGCTGTATCCCGACTTGCCCCTAAAACAACTGGACTACTTCTGCATTGAAGTGGCCTTACTTTACTCTATACTAAGCTATCTGCAGTCTGATGACATGTTCAGCTGCTGCTGCTGCTGCTGCCACCAACATTTTGCGGCTAAGACGTAACCGAGCATGACTTTCGAGCTGGCCATCGACAAAATCGCCTCTCAACTACAAGCCCCGCCGATGTCCTTCATCGAAGAGGTACATCTACCCCATTTCAAATGTATTCGGGCCATAAGGTGAGGCAATTGAGCGCGTCAAACCAAGCCCTTAACCGTCATATCTAAGCCAAAAACCAAATACAATAATATACCACGCTCACAGCTAATTCCTCAAGCGTCTCTCCACAGAAGCAAACCGCAGCTCCGGCTGGTTCAGGAACACGTCGAAGTCTCGCGCCCACGCGTTCTTGACGTGGGCCGGCAGGATCCAGTCCCCGACGACAGGCTCAGGTCTCTGGGGTCGTGCCCAGCGTCGGCGTCAGCGGCCACAAGGGCAGCGGTGTGAGTATCAAGGGCTCAGGCGGCGCAGTGTGCGGTGAGGTTGTAGTAGGCCTCAGCAGGATTTCGGAGGACGCAGGAGTGGTCAAGAGCAAAGAGGCAGCGGTCAGCAATGCGTTGATCGACGTCGTAGGGGGTTGAGATAGAAATTTAGTCGAGATAAGGATGCAACGGACGAGGGATGTTCGATTGAGAGAGTGTAAGGGGGGAGACAAGTGACGGCGGAGCTAACCGTGTCAGTATAAGACCCTGCAGCTCTCTTCTCAATAATCGTGCTCATTGTCGTCAATTTGGCAGTAGGGTTTCTGCTCGTGCCTGGTGATGATATTGGGGTGGGAGCCTTGGTGTTCTGAGTGTCACAAAACACGGTCCCAGGGTTTGGGTTGTTTGACAATGCGGACCAATGACTGTTGTATTGCTACTAGACAGGACACAATTCCACACACACATCCGAGTCAACAGCTTCTCTGGCCCAACCTGGAAGTCCAACCTGGAAGTCCAACCTGGAAGTTCAAGCAGTCATGCAACCAGAACCATGTTAGCCCCCATGAAAGGTCATTTGTCAGCTAAGCAGGTGCGGTGGCAAGGAAAACCCCGAAGAGAAAAAAAAAGTACCCGACTCCTTCTCATCCACTTCACTCCTCAGATGGATGACACGATGTTCAACACCGCGCAACACGCGAAAAGCTCGAGCGCGTGCGCTCAGTAGATTAGCGGTCTCTTCACTGAAGATCCGCAGAATCACAAAAGGAGTCCATACCTGAAAAGCTCATCAGTGATGAGACATGGCTGCTGACGTTGGGTCTCGACTTCTGCTGGAGCCTGACCGTGAAACTGCAGCTCAAGATGTCGTCTAAGATGAGGCGTTGGCGCAAGTAGCGATGTCGAGGAACGAGGTAGACTAGGAGCGGGAGGAGACGGAGGTACTGCGAGGAAGATGTCATGTGTGAGGGCGAAGAAGACAACGATAATGACGAGAAATGGGGAACTGCAAAGCGGATGGCAACAGAAGATGAAGGGCGAAGATGGAGGATGGAGGATGGAGATGGAGATGGAGTACGAAGATGGAAGATGAAGATGGAGGTCGGTGTGGTTTATGTAGTCCTACAAATCACGCGTGCTTTCCGTTTGTTGATTCTATATCCTTAGACCTTGACTTCCTTCGAGACTACCAAATGGAAGGAGGGAGTGTATAGCCTTGAAGGTATGTGGTGACGGCCAGTGGTGCTCCTTCCAGAGCATATCTCTTCTGCACTTTCCATCCTTGGTGAATGTCCCTTGGATCGAGTGAGTCAGTCCATCGTGACTGCCCGACATCAGTATGTGATTATACAATGGAAGTCGCGGTTTCTGCTGCGTCTACGCATCTCGACGATGCACGGCCAATAGCTTGCCAAGGTCCTCAACGCTTCCTTACGCCTTCGCGACTGGCGTTGTCCTCCCATCGTGGAAAGTCACCTACGCTTGCCACTTGCACCGACTCAGGTAGATGAGTGGGGAGAGGCATGATGGCATGCTCCTTCTAGTGACCACAGCAAGCATGGCCCATGACCCAAGGGAGCCCGCAGCAGAAGAGGCGATATGGTGTCTTTGTTGACGGACACACAATTTTGATAACCGAGGGACAGCGCGTCAATATCAGACTTTGACTGCGCCTTGTGGCTCTTGATCTGCCAGGGCGTCCTCCGCCTTGACAAGTAGAGCCATAAGATTGCCATCCTTAAGGACTACTGTGAGAGAACCCCACAGCTCTAGAAGAAGCTCTGGCGCCTTGTCAAGGTCTAACATACTAGGATAATAGGACTCCAGGTTCCCTAAGAGTGAAAGGTCTTTCGAGTCTAGGTTGCTGACGTAGTAATAATAGAAGTGTAGTTACGGGAAGAATACAAGGATTATACAGCTTTTACTATATTACATAGCTAAGATATAGCTGACACGACAGCATCTTTGCCTTCTGATGATGGAAGTATCATGTTACAAGATGAAGAGGTCAAATCTCCCACAGATAACAATTTATGACGGCCGGATGGATAGTTAAGTCGGTGACAATCAGTGAATACCTGGTGTTGTATGTCCTTTTTATGCATATTGGTACAATCTCTGCCTGGTTGGCCACGAGCATATTTGGATCCTTTTGGCCGAGGAAACGCAAGGGACTTTCGCCTCTGCAAAGCCGTCTCATTGAAAAACTCTCTGTAGCCATCTCCAGATTGCCATTTTGTTCAGTTGAGAAATGTTTTCCCATCTCTCTGTTGCAAACGGACCGGGGGACCATGCTGCATCAAGAAAGAGCTTGGTACTACAAATCCATACGGACCCAACTTCTTCGTGATCCCAACCTACCTCGTTTCGTGCTATGTACCGTGCGCACAATGTCTTATTCCAGAGAGCACCAGAGTGGAATGCGGACTGGAGGACGGGTCATGATCAAGGAGGTGACCAATCTCCAAAGTTTTCGTTTCAGACAGGATTGAGAACGGTAAAGACTAGCACATCTCTGGAGGAACATAGAAAAGATTTGGTTAGAAACAGCGCATTCGATGATGGTGCACACTACGGATACCTTAGTACCTATGTGTGCAAGGAGGTAGGTAGGTTAAAGCTGTGTGGCTTTCTCCACGCACCCAGCCACAGCAGCGTGCATATGCGCCCCACATCTAGCAGCTGTTGTACATAGTCCAGCACCCAACACTGTGAACGCGACCGAAGGGTGGAAGGACTGCAACCTCATTCTACAACTACGCACTACCTAACAACCCTCGGTGCTGATTGCGCGACACCGACCGATTCCGATTCCTCTCGAATATGCGACAACATAACCTACGAGTATAGCGGTAGCCATGTCATCGGCGAAGGATCTCGTCGAGTTTCCCGATGTGGAGGCGAAGCTCCAAAAGCCCTCGAAGCAATCCGCCTTC